GGAGGACCCAAGCCTACACCATTGTCGGTCACCCGGGAAATTCTTGCTAGCGGAAAGGCCCTCGACCTCTACACCGGTCTGTCGGCCGGTCTCCTGCGCCAAGCTGTCTACACAACGGCCCGCTTGGGCTTCTTTGACACCTTCATGGGCAAGCTCGGCCAACGCGCCAAAGAGCAAGGAAACGCCATTGGCTTCAAGGAACGTGCCACCGCAGGTCTCGCAGCCGGAGGTCTTGCCGCCATGATTGGGAATCCTGCCGACCTTGCCCTCATCCGCATGCAGAGTGACGGACTGAAGCCGCTTGCTGAGCGCAAGAACTACAAGAGTGTCATCGACGCTCTCTCAAGCATTGCGAAGTCTGAAGGTGTCGCCGCTCTCTGGGCCGGTGCCGCCCCCACGGTCGTCCGTGCTATGGCCCTCAACTTTGGTCAGCTTGCCTTCTTCAGCGAGGCCAAGGTGCAGCTCAAGCAGAACACACAGCTGTCCTCTCAAGTTCAGACTCTCACTGCCAGCGCCATTGCCGGATTCTTCGCCAGTTTCTTCTCTTTGCCCTTCGACTTCGTCAAGACCCGCCTGCAGAAGCAGTCCAAGGGACCCGATGGCAAGCTTCCGTACAAGTCAATGGCCGACTGCTTTGCAAAGGTGGCTAAGCAGGAGGGCGTGATGCGCTTCTACCGTGGTTTCGGTACTTACTACGTCCGCATTGCTCCCCATGCGTAAGTGGACCATCTCAACCCCGTATGCCCGTGTTTTAAGTACCTGGTTTGTATGCTAACAATAGTGCGTTTCCAACAGAATGGTAACACTCATCGTTGCCGACTACCTTGGCTTCATCACCAAATAGACGGAATGCGAATAACACGAACACGACTCTCATTCAATCGCCGGCGCCCTCAAGGTTTCAGTCGTCTCGAATATTTCTTGTGGCTGGAGTGTAGTAGAGCATAGCTTCCTCTCCGAGCCAATTGGGCATCGCATTCTGATTAGTCATTCTTAATGACCCGGCGCTCTCGGTGTTATTGCTAGTTGAATTTCCTAGGAGGTAAATGGTATTGCGTTTTGGGTTTATATCAATGGTTTGGACAAGGAAACGAGACGAAAGAGAGGCATACAGACGTACATAGCCCCCGTCTAGCCGTCGAGAGGGCATTGACGGGCGTATGACCCCCCACGCTTTTTAGGGGATTGAATGGAGAAGAATTTAGCCATGTTTGCGTGTCTCTTGGTGTATCTGCATGTGTGTGCCTGCGCATGTGAAACCTTTTTCTTTTTTTGGGAGCGGGTGGGGGTTGAGTGCCAATGATTGTGTTCGTGTGTTCCTCAACATTGTCTGTGTGAGCCAGTGGCATGCCTTTGGTGAGATTTTGGTCTGAGCGAATGGTCAGAGGCACCTGGTTATCTAAGCTGACCTACCTACCTACCTGTACCTGTAGAGTGAGTCCCAGACTCCCAGTAGAGGTCGAGGTGTGCAGAGTCTCCTTGGTCCACTGGGTTTCACCGAGCTCACCAGTTGAGGTGTGTGCATGTATCTCACCTGGCTTTTGCCCAACTCAACGCTCATGTCTGGGATACAAGCTAAAAATGTACGGCCGTTGAAGGATGCATGTGAATCAATTACCCTTCCTAGAGTTCAATATGAACCCTTGACAAATCCCTGAGGGGAACATTTTGATTGTCTCTGAAAACCAGAGCGAGGTGAATTATTAAAGTCTTTGTGTGTATACCGCCATTTCCCATTTCGCCTGCCCGTTTTATCTGCAAAGAAGAGCCAAACCAAACCCTAGATATCAGAGACTGAATTGGCAGCCAGCCCCAGCCGCCTGATGCTTTTTTTCAAAGAATCACCCAAACCGGGCGGGGCCATCCCATCACTATATTCCTCCCGTCCATGTCCCGTCCAGGCCCGTTGAAGACCTCATTTGTAATACGCCGTATCCGTTGTTAAAACACGCACCCTCCCTTGCTTCGCTCCCGATCGTTACCCGGCTTGCTTATAAACGTTGGGTGTATGATGACTTCGTCTCCTTAGGGTTCACGATTCAAACGGGATGAGATCCAGATCCACGTAGCCAGCTCGGTCAACCTACTCCTGGCTGGCACTGAGGTCCGGATTCTTCTCCCACAAGTTGCGGAGGATCGCCGTGATACCCTCGTCTTCCTCTCCACCCACCAGGCTCGACCCGCTGAGGCCCTGGACGCCGTTTCCCTCGTGAAGGGCCCGGCTGCTCTGATGGTCGTCGCCGTCGGCCTCGTAGCTCGACCCAGCCCCATTGGTCCGAATGGAATAAGCGCGCGGGGTGACGGGTCTCCGGGCGGAGCCGGTGCCGTTGCCGGTGCCGCCCGATGCTGCAGCCAGAGCCGCCTCGTTCAGGCTCGAGTTACGCATATGTTGCCCTCCCGGCGTGACGCCTCCCCGTACCGACGCGGCCTTGCCATTGCCGTTGGCGGTCCCGTTGCGCGGTATCCGCTGCGTCTTGTTGGCGCGGTTCACCTGCGCGAGGCGATCTAGCGATCGCACCACGGGGTTCTGGAAGCGGCGAACGCTGAGGTACTCCATCCCTGTACGTTCCAGCTGCTTCGCGACGCGTGGGTCGCGGCTCGCGCCGCCGTCATAGCCCGGCCCGCCAATGCCGACCAGGGGACTCGCGCCCACTGCGCCCACGCCTCCTCCAACCGCCTGGCCCGGCTCGATGACAGAGCTGGCGCGCTGCAGATTGAGCTTCTGCTGCGTTCGCGACTTTTCGGCGGGCGGGGCGAAGCGCCTTCCTGACCGCGGCGCGAGCGCTGTGCCGTCGGTGGTATCGCGGATTTTGCGAGTCTCGAGAGCGCTGTCTCCGTCTTCGTCGTCTGATAATGGCAGATCGCGATGTCTTCCTTGGCGTCCGGACCCCGAGGACTGCGGCCGCCCTCGAGAGGGGTTTTCCTCAGACCGTAAGCTCGCTGGCCCGGGCGTTGGGAGCTGGTAGAAAGATCCTTCGCGCGCCGCGCCGGAGCTCCCTGCGTTGACGAATCTCGAAATAAGCTCGTCGCCAGCGCTACCCGGTAAGGTGCTGACATTGTGCGAGTCGCCTAGGGTCGAGCCGCGGCCGATGGAGTCGGGGGATGAGGAATGGCCTCGCCGTGAGACGGATACTGTGTCTGCCGTCATCTTGGGAGGTGCGCCGTGGGAAGGGGTGCGCTGAAGTAATCTAGAGGTCAAATATGCCTTGTGCTGTACGGTCTCGCGGTCGGGTGTCGCTGGGACCAGGGGTGATGATTGCGCCGCGGGAGTTTCTGCTCTGGAGTTGGTCGCAGAGTTGCCGGCAGAATTGCTGGCAGAGTTATTCGCGCTGCTGCTACCGTCGTCTGGCTTCGCAGAGGCTTGTGTGCTGGCGAGCGATCCTCGTCTTGATAGATATGGTGAAGCGGATGTGCTGGCGTCAACCCATTCGTCGTCTTGGCCGTCGTTCCCCAAGTCGAAGTGTACCTGTGACTTTTGCAACTTGACCTTGTTCACAGCCGGATTCGAGCTGGTTCTCTTGAGTTTCTCCACCGACTTGATCTTTGCGGGCTTGTTGACTTCGCCGTGGGATTTGTTCCTCCGTAAGCTCGTCGCGGAGGCGGTTTTGCTGAGGTTCGCGGAGGAGCTGTCGCGGGAGAGTTTCGCTTCAGATTGGACCCGTCGATGGCCAGCTGCGGAGGCGCGATTTCGATCAGGCGAAGGGGATGCTTGTCGGCGGTGATTGTTCAGTTTTGAGGCTGTCGAGCCATGGTGTTTGTGTAGTGCTTTGGAGGAAGGAACGCGTGCATGTAGGCGACCGCCGCCGACAACGTGCTTTTGGGATTTCGAGCGGTGCTGATGATGGTGGTCTCGGTGAGCCTGGTCGCTGTTTGTCGAATCGCTCTCCTGATGATTGAGAGGAGGGCGTCTTGATTGGCTGGGCGCCGAAGATTCATCACCTTCTCTGTCTCTGTCTCTGTCTCGGACCATGGTTGCTTATTTGACCCCCTGGGGGATACCGGTACTTGACGAATAGGTACTATGATGTGTCGTTGCAGCCAAGGTACAATGTCATGGGTGTCGACAGGTTTTTGGGGGTGGTAGCAATGCTTGTTCTCTGATGCGCGGGTGCGGTGCGGTGCGTAGCGGTACGTTGCGTGGGCGTTCGGAGGACCGATGGATTGCGGTGGTGGCTGCCCGCGTTGCTGTTTCAATGAGGTAATGCGTCGAAAACTACAGGGAGGGAGAGCACTGGAACTCTGGGAGAGGGCGCGGGATGGACAAGGTGCGCCCAGTTGGGGGCCGATTGCGGCGAGCAATTGCGCAGTAAAGGGGATGACAACTGTGGAGGGAGTCGTCTCGTAGTCGAGGTATAGCGGGCGTTCGGGTATCTGCGTTCTGGAGAGGAGAGATTGAAAGATGCTGCGCTGTTCTTTCCAAGCTGCGAGGAGAAATAAGTGAGTAAGGTAAGTAGCGTAGAATGGGAAAGAGAATGAAGAAAGAGGAAAAGGGCCAGGTCGAAGTTCCCGTTCATTTGTCTAAGGTACCCTTTGGCTAAATTACCTTAGACAAGGTACCCGAGACCATGGGAGGCACCCACGATTCCCTCTCCACCGCTGGCTCCGGCGCCATTCAGGACCATTCTCGGCATGCCACGCCCGCTAACGTCCATCGTCAGCACCTGTGCGTGCTGCTTTTAGCCTTTCGGTGCGCCTGGACCCGACTTCAACCGCTTCCCATTGCCACCCCTGCATTCCACGATTCCTAAAAAATCCCACACTGGGGTCTGGGGCGGCTGCACGAATCAGGCACTCTGTGATTGGCCAATACCTAGGTAGCTGGAATCCGATGCAGTTGGTTCTCCCAGAATTCCCCATTATCTCCACGTGACTCTGTCGGATAAGCCTCTTTCCGCAAATGGACGCCATCCCCAGTTCGTCACAGATCAACCAGGCGCATGCTTCATTCTACCTACATCCGCAACATCACAGCGATTCAACACTGAAACATCTTCAGTCGCGTCCGACTGTACATTGAATAAACCCAACACCCGGCACCTGACGCCCGTTCAAGAATTCCAACCAGCAATAGACCGTTTCTGCAGCCGCCATCATGTCGGGCCAAATTGCAGCTTTGGAGGAGGATCGCCAACAGTATCAAGAGCAGGTACGCAACACCTCGACGTTCAGACATCATATATGTTCTTCGCTAACTTAGCCTCAACAGCTCGATGTTGTTCTCGCCGGCCTCAAAGATGATCCCGAAAATGCCGAACTCAAGAATCTTCAGGCGGAGTTGAATGACATGATTTCCCTCCTAAACGAGTCTCTTGCTGAGCTGCAGCCGAAGCAGGCGCCCAAGCCCGTCCCCCAGAAAGCCCCCAGCCCGCCGGAGCCCGAGAAGTGGTCCAAGGAGAACCACCCAGCTTTCAAGAAGGCTGCACCCGCCCCCGAAGAGAAGGAGGAACCACCCGTCACGTACTCGGTGAATGACACTGTCATGGCGAAATGGGCATCGGGGGACAGAGGCTTCTATCCTGCCCGAATCACATCCATCACCGGCTCCTCAACAGATCCCGTCTACATTGTCAAGTTCAAGAGCTATGACAACACGGAAACACTGCGGGCCAAGGACATCCGCCCCATGTCCAACAAACGCAAGGCTGACGGAGCACCAGCTCCCGCATCTAGCACCGCACAACAGACCGCACGTCCGCCGGGCCCCTCGAATGGTGTCGTTACATCCGCAGCAGCTAGCCTGTACCCGGAGCAACAAGCCAAGATTGAAGCCGAGAAGAATGCTGCCGATGGCGCCGCAAAGCCACCCAAAGCCAAGAAGATCAAAGCCACGAAAGAATTGGAAAAGGGCAAATCCAAGTGGCAAGAGTTCAACTCGAAGTCCAAGTTCGGAAAGCATAAGAAGGACAGCATGTTCCGCACACCCGACGGCGTTGGCGGCCGAGGTACGTTGCTCTCGCCAAACCACAAAAGTGAGGATGATGCTAACTCAATCACAGTTGGTTTCACAGGTTCTGGCCAAGCTATGCGGAAAGACACTGCTCGCAGTCGACACGTTTATCAACAAAACGATGAGCTCGACTAACTGCTACTAGGGCATAGGGAAGCGGGAGGATCTTAAGGGAAGGAGGTTCAAGGCATTGGCGTTCATGGGTGATTTGGCACTCTCATTCTCTTCATGGTAAAGTGTCTTGTTTCCGCGTTACATAGGCTAACGGTTTGTACACATGTGTTTTACTTACTCCAGGCGACCATGGGATTATGATTTCACCTGGACTCTGCGCATCAAGCGCGGAGGGGTCCTTGATACAAATACATGAGATGCCCAACTTCCCCAGCTTCATGGCCACCTTGACTAAACATCTGGCTATACAGGATATCCTACACTCTCATTCCGGCCTTAGAATACGTCGCTTACTGGCCGTCACATGTCATTGGCGAGCTACGGTGAGCGGAGGTCAATCTTTGGGGCAATGTCCTTAGCAATCTTGAGGAAGATTTCCGCCCTGGCACTCGACGGCTCCGATACAACGGTGGGCTTGCCCAGATCCGCATCATCGCCGATGGATGGGTGCAGGGGGATGTCGCCTAGGAAGTCGATCTTGTGCTCTCTGCACATGCGCTCGACTCTCTCGTTGGACCCAAAAACGTGTGTGTCGCCATTGCAGTGTGGACAGTTGAAGAGTGACATGTTTTGCACCAAGCCCAAAATGTTGGTATTGACCTTATTGAACATGTTGACGCCCTTGACCGCGTCTTTGACTGCGAGTGTATGGGGTGTGGTGACAATGATGGACCCTGGCTTTTGTAAGCGGTGGCCGGCAATCATGTGCCTAGTGTTGCGACGTTCAAACATGACTTACCATCAAGTATGATCTGCTGTGTAATGGTGAGCTGCGTATCGCCCGTGCCTGGAGGTAGGTCGAGCACAAGAACATCCAACCCACCCCAGTCGACTTCGTGAAGTAGCTGCTGAATAGCCTTCATCACCATGGGGCCTCGCCATACCACCGCGTTATCCTCTGGCACAAGGTAGCCCATGGACATGGTCTTTACGCCGTAATTAGTCATTGGGATCAACTGGTTGTCTGACGATAGTGTTAGCTGGCGAGCTGCAATGGTCAATGAGGTCTGGGATTCCTACTTTCTGAGAGCCTCGGCTCTCCGGAGAGGTTGAAGAGTGTAGGAATAGAAGGGCCAAAGATATCGGTGTCCAGGATACCGGCCCTGTAGCCTAGTCGTGCAAAGGCCAATGATAGATTTGCTATAAATATTGATTACTACTGTGCCTCTTTGCAAACATTTTTGATTTGGAGCTGCGTGACCTACCTGCAACTGTACTCTTGCCAACGCCACCCTTGGCGGAAGAAACTGCAATAATTTTCTGTACGCCGGTAATCTTCCTCTTCACGGGCTTCCTAGGCCAGTTGGGCGGTGTGCCGGATTTCGGCAGGCCCTGTAGGTCATGTTAGTAAGTCTGAATATGAGGTGATGCATGAGATGGAGAGTAAGAGGGAAGCGTGCGTTATACCAAGGGGTTTTCATGGCCCAGGACTCGAAGAGTCGACTGAAACGGACGGAATAGTGTTGGCCTCATTGTGCGGTCTTTGACAGGCGATACACAATTACCTTGAACGTCATAGAGAGATGCAATGCACAATGCAATGGAATTGACCCTGGAGACAGACAATGCATCGGGGGTGGTGATGAGAGGATGTAATTGATTGGCTCTACGTAGACTGGATCTGTTTGCGGAGTATCTTCGGCTGAGAGGTGGTTCAGCTTCGTTGACTTGCAATGGCCCTGCCTGAGGCGGCAGCACATCAGAACAATGCTACTCATCGTGTCTTCGATAACTTGACTACCTTACACAAAGCATCTTTAGTCCGTCAAGAAAGACCGAACAATGCATGACCCATTGGTTTGACATTTCCTCATCGAAGAGTCGGGAACGTCACGTGATCTGGTGTAGACGACCCCACCGAACCTTCTCCATGGCTCGTATACGTACCTTTTTCATCGCGGTCGAATTCGCGATGAGAGGAAACAGAGCTGCAGACGCGACATCTCACTTACTGAAAGCTCTCGTTCCAAAAGTCGAGCCCCACCACCCGCTAAGCATGAGATCTCACATATGAAAGCTCACAGTGACATCCTCCTCCAGTTCTCGCCTTCAAGTTTCATATTTCTGATACCCCTTTGATATTCCACGTTTTTTGTTTTCATCGATTCTGCTCGTTGGCACTCACTCTCGTTTTCTTTGCGCCTGCCTTACCTCGTGAAGCTAGGAGCCGCTGCAGGGAAGCATCGAGACTCACCTGTATCTGAGATAACCGAAACACCAAGGCCCATTTCAAGGAGAAGGGGAAAAGAAACACATCACACACAAACGACGCGATGTCTACCCCATCGGCAATGTTCGACATGGCGCAAGGTCGTCGCGACCTGGCCGCCCTACCCTCCGACTGGCAGCAAAACATCAGAGAAGCTGTAAGTCCTTGTATTACCTAGCATCATCACTTCATCATGCTCTCGTATATAAACCGAGAGTCGAAGTATCACCTGCTCTTCTCTGCCTTTTCCCTCTCATCCTACGAGCAAACATCACTGACACACACACCCCTCACTAAGTGGGAAGTCGTCGACCAACAAGGCCTCGGTTCCCTCAACGCGCGCGAGTGGCCCTTTGCCCTCCGCGCCATCGGCTTCGACCTGGCCCGTACAGAGACCTACGCCCTCCTCCTGGCCCACGGCGTCCCGCCGCACGACCACGACCCCTCGCGGGGCCCCTGCAGCCCGTCCCGCCTGCGCATGCCGCAGGAGCACTTCTCCGCCATCGCGGCGTGGCTGCTGATGCGCCGCGACCCGCAGGAGGAGGCCGAGGATGCGTGGAAGATGTTTGACCCCCGCGGCACGGGGCGGGTCACGCTCGAGAGCTTGAGAGCGGTGTGCGGCGAGGTCAATTCTACGCTGAGCGAGGCGGATATGAGGAGGATGATCGACATGGCGGATATCTCGGGCAAGGGGTGGGTTAGTAAGGAGGAGTTTATTGAGGTTGCCAAGGGCGGGTTTGGACGTGGTTGAGTTTGGTATCTTCACCTCAACGAGAGAGGAGAAAGGAGAGAGGGTTGTTGTGGGTTGTATGTGTTTGAAGGCCTCGACGGGGTAGACGGCGAGCCAAACCGTGCCAACCCCATCCAGGAACTGGGTTTGCACAGGTTCTTCAACGTTGGAGCAAAAATGCAATCATCGATTTCCAAAATCACCTTGCAGCAGCCATCACGCTGAAGCCTATGATAGCAGCTTCTTGAACCCAAACTGGATAATGCCACCCAGGAATTGGGTTCTTGCTTTCCACCAGCTTAGCCAGTCGGGACGTTTAACGAGGTCTGTTGCACCGCATCTCCCCCAGAAATTCCTAAATCTCAATACCGGTCGACTTCCTAAGCGGCAACCCAGCCTTCTCATAGGCCATGTCAATCATCCTCATCTGACTAATACTATCCTCCCCATCAACCCAAACGCTCGTCTCCCTGCCCCTGACGCGGTTGACGAACTGCTCCAGCTGATGCCGGTACGTGAACCAATACTCCTCGCCGTTGCCCGCCAGCCCGGCCTCGTCAAATGTATACGCCTTCTTGGACGTCTTCTCCGTCCACTTCTTGACCACCTCGCCCGAGCCCGTCCGCTTCACGACGAATTCGTCCACGACGTCGATGCGGTGCCATATGCCGCCCAGCATGAAATTCGCAAACTCAATCGTCCGCTTCCGCGTCTTCTCCTGGCCCGCGGGTAACTTGTCGTCGGCAACCTTCACTTCTTTGTGGATGACGCTCAGCCGCGGCAGACCCATCCCCAACGTCCCCGTCCGGAACGCCCCCTCGGCGTGCGCCGTCCCGCCGTTGGCCATCCGCCACGTGATGTCCCACGCGTAATCCGCCCTCTCCTCGGGCGGCGGCATCGTCTTGAATTTCGCCGTCAGACACTCCTCGGGCTCGACGCCAAACGTCTGCCGGATGCTCGAGACGGTATACGTCCCCAAATCCATCAGCCCGCCGCCGGCAAGACCGTACTGGAACCGAATGTCATCGTCCCCGAGCGCGAACCAGGGGATAAACGCCCGCGCATGCACGTGCTCGACGTTCTCCTTATCGACGAGCCCCATGAAATACTGCCAGCTCGGCTGGAATCGGTAATGGAACGCCTCCAGCAGGATCGGCGCTCCCTTCTCCTTGAGCAGCGGCAGCCGGAACAGGGCCTCGGCCTCCTCGGCGTTGGAGACGGACGGCTTCTCCAGCAAGACGTGCTTGCCCGCCTGCAGCGCCTTGAGGGCCCACTCGTAGTGCAGGCCGTTGGGCAGCGGGACGTAGATTGCGTCGAGCTCCTGGTCGTCGATGACGGCCTGGTACGAGTCCTTCACGTCCGGGATTCCGTGCTTCTGGGCAAAGACCTCGGCCTTTTTACGGTCGCGGGCGGCAATGGATTGGACTATGACGTCTGGGTGAGTTTTGGCCGGTATGATGAGGGCCATTGGACTACAACTGAGGTTAGCTTCCCATTATCGATAACAAGGTAATTCGCAATGTTTCCTTTTTACAAAAAGACAAAGCCAAAGATGATACTTACGCAATGTTGGCTGCGCCCAGGACGCCGAAGCGGATGGCGCCATCTTGCTTTGGTGCGACGGGCGGGTTGAAGATGAAATAATTGCGGCGTAGGAAGCCGAACACGGAGGCCATGGTGGTGAAGGTGAGATATGCGCAGTGGGGTTTGTATGTGACTACAGATTACAACAGCTCGGTCAATTGAGGTCAATTGATATTTGAATAGCTCATGCGAGTATTTATGAGAGTGAAGATCAGACTTTCTAAGTCATGGATGAACCAACATACATATGCAGGGGAAAGTTGATTAGCAATCTGGGGGCTGGTGTTGCAAGGCATGGGATGTTTCTCCTCACCGGCTCTGTTCCGCCAACGGACATGAGACGACGCAGCAGCACAAGGGAACGGAAGGGTTAGCTCAATCCCGGCGGGGTTAGACGGGCAATTAGGCCGGTAACATCAAAGCTTAGTGCGGGCAGCTTATGTTCGATTGCAGACTCTGGTCACATAATCATGAGGTGTCGCTGGGTTAGAAGTTGTTGGTTGGAGTTGTCAAATATGGGCCTTGCATCCATCGTACCGCTTCTGGTAGGTGTTTTCTGTGTGCACCGTTGACCGACCGTTGACACCCCTGCAGATATCCTCAGACAAAACCCGCCATTACTGCTGGGCGTGTTGCGCTGTGGTAACGATGCATATTATTACAGTCACCATATGCATAGGCCGGTTGGTTGTCTCTTTTACTTCATTTTGAGAACTACGTAGGTGGGCTTTTCGCCATCATCATCCTACGAAACAGAGCAGACCCCATCCCATATCTGGTCTCATCTCTGTGGAGGTATCACCCATTAACTCTTCCTTTACAAAACATCGTTGGCGTTGAAGTCGAACAGAGCCTGCTTGACGCGCTCCTTCATGGTCTTCTCGCCCTCACGGACCCAGACTCTAGGGTCGTACTTCTTCTTGTTGGGCTTGTCGTCACCCTCGGGGTTGCCGACCTGGGTCTTCAGGTAGTCGATGTTCTTGGTGACGTAGTCGCGGATACCGGTGAGGTAGGCCCACTGCAAGTCAGTGTCGACGTTGACCTTGACGACACCGAAGGAGATGGCCTTCTGGAACTCCTCGACAGCGGAGCCGGAACCACCGTGGAAGACGAAGAAGACGGGCTTCTTGTCGTCGGTGCCCAGCTTCTGCTGGACAAACTCCTGGTGCTTGCCGAGGAGCTCGGGGTGAAGCTTGACATTGCTGCAATGGGTTAGGCCTGTGGGGTGGAGGTTTTGGAGGCACACGCGACTTACCCAGGCTTGTAGACACCGTGGACGTTACCGAAACCGGCAGCGATGGAGAAGAAGGGGCTGATGGGGCTCAGGGCCTGGTAGATGGCGTAGATGTCCTCGGGCTGGGTGTAGAGTGAGTTGTTGTCGACGTCTTCGTTGTTGACACCGTCCTCCTCACCACCGGTGATACCGATCTCCATCTCGAGCCACAGCTTCATCTGTGCGCAACGTGTTAGTGGCAGGCGCAAAAAAAAGGTCCTGTTTGTAGCTTACGGGAGCAGAGCGCTTGAGGTACTTGGCGGTGGTCTCGATGTTGTAGGCGACATCCTCTATGTGTTTGTTAGTGATGGTCTTGGGGAGGGCGAGATTGGGACTCGATTACATACCCTCGGAGAGATCGATCATGTGGGAAGAGAAGAGGGGGTGGCCGGAGCGCTTGAACTCCTCCTCATCGGCGGAGATCATGCCATCGAGCCAGGGCAGAAGCTTCTTGCTATGGTAGAAGGTCAGTTTGCTGGGTCTTTGAAATTAGATGGTTATGCTCGAAACTTACGCGCAGTGGTCAGAGTGAAGGACGACGGGAACGCCGTAGATGGGGGCGATAGAGGTGATGTAGTGAGCGGCAGCAATGGCACCGGCGACGGAAGCCTCCTGCTTGTCGGCGCTGTTGGGAATGCCCTTGCCGGCGAAGTAGGCGGCACCACCCTGGGAACTGCAAAGCTATCAGATATCTTGCTGAAGTCTATGGTGTGGCTGATCTTGGATCTAGGGGATCGGTGTAGGGTTGTACGCACGTCTGGAGGATGATGGGAGACTTGGCCTCACGGGCAGCCTCGAGAGCGGCAACGGCGGTGGAAGAGGAGGTCTGGGAGGCGGGGTCGTTGTTAGCCGATTGTCACCGAATATTATTTCCCCTCCATTCTTGGACCGCACGGCGCCAACTCGGGGCGCGTCATAGGATTGGCAAGATTGGTATTGATATGATGGGAGGAGCCAAAGAGAAGCTACTTACGACGTTGGCAGCAGGAATGGCAAACTGCTTGGCCTTGGCGTAGTTGAAGAGCTTCAGGAGGTCATCGCCGTAGACGACACCAGGCTTGATGTTGAGCTCTGACAGGAGACCCATTGTGAATGGCGGGGTACTGACGTGGGGTAGAAAAGATGTTCAGGTTGATTGCGAATAGTAACTTGTCCAGAGTAGAGTCGGACTGTTCTAACTTGATGCTCAGAGGCAGAAGAGTAAAAGGTGAGAGAATATGCAGGGACAGGTATTGGAGAAGAGGGAGAAAAATCAACAGGAAGGTTTGGATCGGGGTTGATGTGGACGCGGGCGAGTTATGTTTGATTCCCACGAGCGGGATTTTACTCGGGCTGAGCAGGACTGGTCCAGTGTACTGCAGCTACTGTACCAAGCCAGCCAGACCCGGTCCACCTTGACCGTCCGTCCATGGGCCACGCCTACGGCCAAGCATCGGTCCAGCTACCGGCGGGTGCTCTCCCACCTCTTCCAATTTGACCAAGCGTTGGCTGGTTGGCTGGGCGTGTTGCGTGAGGTGCGAGGTAAGGTACATGGATGAGACCAATTTGGCCGTGGTTTCCCCTTCAACTGCTCCGAGCGGGAGTACTTTACCTGCTGGTTCTGAGGTACCTTACTCCGTCCATGAGGAGCTCCGCTCTGCCAGCTTCAATCCTTTGAGGGAGGTACCACCGTCCACCGAGCATCCCATGGTCCCTCGTTCTTTCCTGCCTTTGGTCTTTGGTCACTCCAGTAATGGGAGGAAGTCGATGTATCTGCCTTCCATGGCACCTTCCGTCTGGAATTGTACATCAGTCACAAACATTGACCTGTGACATAATGAAGAATATTAGGTAAAGGGCATTAGGCAATGCATCTTCCTTTTTACACAATTACTTTACACCATGACAGCAAGCAAACGGTTTGACCTGTGGCTGAATCTGAGCAATGCTTCCATTGAGAGAAACAAGTCATCAACAACACTGCGCCTGTCTCAACCCAATGGAACACCGTGAGTTGTTGAGGGGCAGAGAGCACAAGTACCTCGACCGAGTGCACAGCAAGAGGGGTACTTCGGACAGCTACGAACAGCCCCTCTATTTCCTCTTACCACGTCAAACGCGAGTAACCCCTCCCCCCACCCAGCCATCAAATTGACGTCAAAAAATTGATACTGCACCACTTTCT